AACGAGTAAGTGGGGGTCATCATACTGGCTCTCCCTGATACGGTCATAAAGAGAAGAACCGGAGACCACGCAAGCCAATACCCGATTAGGCTCCGAAATATCCAATCTCACAAGCTGGCCAAGCTATTGCCTGAACATCCAATGCCAAAGGTCTCTCTGCTACTGGAAGATACGCTAAACTCCCCAAACTCCCTGCTCGGCGACTCAAAGCATCGGTCACCACATTGGCCTTCCCCGGATGGTACAAAATAGTGATATCATAGTCCTTAAGAAGCTCTAACCATCTCCGCTGACGCAAATTAAAATCCTTATACTTAAACAGATGCTGCAAACTCCGGTGATCAGTATAGATCTCACAATGAACCCCATATAAATAATGACGCCAAATCTTCAAGGCGTGAACAATGGCTGCTAACTCAAGATCGTGGACAGGATAGTTCTTCTCATGGGTCTTCAACTGGCGCGAGGCATAGGCAATCACCCTACCCTCCTACATGAAAACACAACCAATGCCTATCCTCGAGGCATCACAATACACGGTGCAAGAACCTGAAGCTGATAGCAGAACTAACACTGGAGTTGTGGTCAAGGTAGTCTTGAGCTTCTAAAAGCTCTCCTCACACTCGTCCGACCACCTGAATGGAGCACCCTTTTGGGTCAATTTGGTCAAGGGAAATGCAATAGATGAAAATCCCTCCACAAAGCGACGGTAATAACCAGCCAAACCGAGAAAGCTCCGAATCTCTGTAGCTGAGGACGATCTGGGCCAACTCAGAACCGCCTCTATCTTCTTCGGATCCACCTGAATACCCTTACTGGACACCACGTGTCCCAAAAATACTACTGAACTGAGCCAAAACTCACAGTTGGAGAACTTTGCATAAAGCTTTTCCTCCCTCAATCTCTGTAATACAATCCTCAAATGTTGAGCGTGCACCTCTTGGCTACGAGAGTACACCAGGATTCCATCAATGAATACAACAACAAATGAGTCCAAATAGGGCTGGAATACACTGTTCATCAAATGCATGAACGCTACTGGGGCATTGGTCTGCCCAAAAGACATTACCAAGAACTCATAATGGCCATATCGAGTCTTGAAAGCTATCTTAAGAATATCTGAATCCCGAATCTTCAGCTGGTGATAACCAGACCTCAAATCGATCGTGAAGAACACCCTTGCTTCCTGAAGCTGGTTAAATAAATCATCAATACGAGGCAAAGGATACTTATTCTTGACTATGACCTTGTTCAACTGCCTGCAATCAATACATATTCTCATGAAATCATCCTTCTTCTTCACAAATAAAACTGGTGCACCCCAAGGTGACACACTAGGCCGAATAAACCCCTTATCAAGGAGTTCCTGAAGTTGTGCTTTCAATTCCTCCAACTCCGCCGGTGCCATATGATACGGTGGAATAGAAATGGGCTGAGTGCCCGGCACCAAATCAATACCAAAGTCAATATTCCTGTCAGGCGGCATGCCCAGCAGGTCTGCAGGAAACTCATCCGGAAAATCACGTACCACCGGAACAGAATCAATGGCAGGAGTCTCTGCACTAACATCCATCACAAACGCCAAATAAGATAGGCAACCCTTCTGAACCATACGTTGAGCCTTCAAATATGAAATCACCCTACTAGGTACATAATCTATAGAACCGCTCCATTCAACCCTAGGAAATCCCGGCATCTCCAATGTCACGGTCTTTGCGTGACAATCTAGAACAACATGACATGGAGATAACCAATCCATACTCAATATCACATCAAAGTCAACCATACTAAGCAGCAAAAGGTCCATTTGGGTCTCCAAACCCCCAATATTCACCACACATGACCAATATACGCAGTCCACAATAATAGTATCACCCACAGGAGTAGATACATGAACAAATGAAACTAAAGACTCATGGGGCATATCTAGAAAATAGGTGAAATACGAGGAAACATATGAATACGTGGAACCAGGGTAAAATAATACTGAGGCATCTCTCTGATAAACTGAGACAATACCTGTAATCATAACATCTGAAGGAATATCATCTGGTCTGGGAGGGATGGCATATAAATGGGCTTGACCACCCCCTGATCTGCCTCCCCCTCTAGGGCGACCCCTAGCTGATTGACCTTCACTTTGAGCTGACTGGGCGGGTGGTGAAGTAACTGGTGCTGAAGTCGAAGGCTGGATCCTCTGCTGAGAAAGACCTCCATGACGACGAGGACAGTGCCTCCACATATGCCCAAACTCCCAACACTCAAAACAACTTCCTGGTGCTGGTGGCGGGAACTGAAGGGAACCCCTAGCACTGGGATAACTAGTAGAAGGACCTGGCATAGAGGAGCCCTGAACAGGTGGAGCATGGGACGAACTCTGAGCTGGAAGGGCACTAAGTGATGTGTGGCCCTGATGAGAACTGTGAGAACCATGGCCAGATGATGCACCACGGTGAAATGGCCGAGCTGACTGAGCCTGTCTGAAATGACGACCTCTACCATGCTGGAACTGGCCCACAAAAGGAGCACTGCTAAATCCACCCTGACCACGAGGCCTCTTGGCCTCCCTCTTAACCCTTTCTTGACCGCGAACCATCTCAATCTGCTGAGCAATGTCGACAACCTCATCAACGGTAGCACCAGATAGCCTCTCTCTGGTCTTGAGCAATTGTAGCTGATAAGTGAGACCATCAATAAACCTCATGATCCTCTCCCTGTCTGTGGGAACCAACCAGATAGCATGACGGGCCAACCCAGAGAACCGCGTCTCATACTGTGTCACAGACATATCACCCTGGCGAAGCCGCTCAAACTGTCTGCGTAGCTCCTCTCTACGTGACCGAGGTATCTCTTCTTCAAAAAGACCACGGAGAACTGCTGCCAAGTATGGGATGCTGCGCCAACAGGCCTACACCTCTCGTAAGTCTCCCACCATCGGAGTGCAGCCCCAGAAAACTAAAAAGTAGTGAATGAGACCCCACAAGTCTCTAGGCACCGGTGGTTCCTGAGATGGTGCTTCAACAACTGGAATCTGGTCCTGATCGAGGACAACTGGTGGATCTGCACGTACTGCCCCATCTGCTGTGCGGGCTGCACCTCTGCCCCTACCGCGACCTCGGCCTCTCGCGGCCCTGACTGGTGGTACTGGTGGCTGTCCATCCGGCTTGGTACTACGAGTCCTCACCAACTGTGAGAGAATGAAACAACAAATGTTTAGTTACCAGAATCAACAGCGCACTAAAAGAATTCAAGAATGTGGAGTTTCCTAAAGGTTCTGCAGCCTCTCGAAGATATGTACAGACGTCTCCGTACCGATCCGCAAGACTCTACTAACCCGCTCATGACTCGTGAGACCTATGTAACCTAGGCTCTGATACCAACTTGTCATGACCCAAACTAACCCTGTCGTGATGGCGCCTATCGTGGAACTAGGCAAGCCGACTCATTTCCCAAACAACTGATATTTTTTAATTTCAAAGGTAATTTCAAGGCTATTTAACATAAAAACCTTCATAAAAGAGTTCAAATCAAAACAAAGGTGCGGAAAAGAAAAGCTCGACATTGGGGTGTCACTAGTCATGAGCATCTACTACAATTTGTCTAACAATATCAAGACTAACATAGTCTGGAAAATAGCTAAATACAACTAAAGGAAGATAAGAGTGAGAAGAGCAGGGCTGCGATCGCCAGGCAGCTACCTTGCTATCCCCGAGAAAATCTGCAAGCAGAATAATCAACAACGGCTACCGTGTCCAGCTACATCTGGATCTGCACACAAAGTGCAGGGAGTAACGTGAGTACGCCAACTCAGTAAGTAACAACAGTAAATAAAGGATGAACACTAGTGACGAGCAACAAAGCATATAAAGTTCATATTATGAAATCTCGGTAAAATACAACATGCTTTAAAAATCAGTGTTTGAATCAAATCATCTCGTTTAAAACCCAGTTCCAATAAAAGTCATTTAAAGATATTTTTCAACAGTTTCAAACAGAGGCTCAAATGCAAAGGTGAGCAAAAATGATGAAATCATAAACAACCCCTCGGGCATAACATCACTCATATACAACCCCTCGGGTAAGCCTCACAATCACCCATGCCTCTCGGGCATACCTCACAATCACTCATGCCTCCCAGTCATTCAGCACTCGCACTCAGTAGGTACCTGCGCTCACTGGGGATGTGTACAGACTCCGGAGGGGCTCCTTCAGCCCAAGCACTATATCAAGCCAAATCATGGCATAAATCACTAAGGCCCTCGGCCTATATCAAACATGCTGAGGCGTGCAGCCCGATCCCATAAATATCCTCACAAATGAGGCTCTCGGCCTCGCTCAGTCATAAACCTCTCAAGCCATTCGGGCATTTCAGTAAAAACAAGGTACTCAGCCCAAAACAACATTTATATGCATCAAAATAGAGTAAGAAAAACTGAGTTATGCAGTAAACAGGTAAAACCATGACTGAGCATAGATTTTAAATTGAAAACAGCGATAGGTTGGTAATAAAAGGCTCCTAAGGGTCCAAACAGCACTGGCACAAGGCACAAACATGGCATTCAGCCCAATTTACAGAAACTCTTTCTAAAACATATAAGTATCATATAGTTTCAACAAAATATGCAACTTTACAGTTGCTATGGGACGGACCAAGTCACGATCCCCAACAATGCACGCCCACACGCCCGTCACCTAGCATGTGCATCACCTCAAAATAGTAGAATGATATGAAATCCGGGGTTTCATACCCTCAGGACTAGATTTACAATCGTTACTTACCTCAAACCAGTCAAATCTCTACCCCGTGATGCTCTTTCCTCTCGACTCGGCCTCCAAATGCTCCAAATGCTCCAAATCTGTTCACAATCAGTACAATACCATCAATATACGCTAATGGAATGAATTCCACAAGAAAAACTACCAATTCAGACATAAAACCCGAAATTGGCTCAAACCCGACCCCTGGGTCCACGACTCGGAATCGGGTAAAAGTCACAAATTACAAACACCCATTCACTCACGAGTCCAACCATACTAGTTTCACTCAAATCCAACTTCAAATCGACATTCAAATCCCGAAAACTCATTTTACGAAGTTTCTACAATTGTTCCCAAATTTCCACCTCAAAGTACTAATCTGATGATGAAATCATTGATATATTCATGTATATTAACAAAATTCAAGTTAGAATCACTTACCCTAATGAATTTCTTGAAAAACCCACGAAACATCGCCACAAATCGAGCTCCCTAGGTGCAAAATGTGACCATCGATATCAAATTTTTCACTGCCGACCGAAATCGTCGAATTTCCAACTTTCGCCAATTTAAGCCTAATTCTACCACGGGCCTCCAAATTACATTCCGGATGCGCTTCTATGTCCAAAATCACCTAACGAAGCTAATGGAACCATAGAAATCCACATCCGAGGTCGCTTACTCATAACTCAATATCCGGCTGACTTTTTCAATTTAAACTCCTAAATAAGAGAGTAAGTGTCTCATTCCACTCCGAAACTACTCCGGACTAGAACCAACTAACCCGGTATATCATAACATAGTTGAAAAACATAAAAGGAAACAGAAATGGGGGAAACAGGGCTATAACTCTCGAAACGGCCGGCCGGGTCGTTACAGATAATGAAAGGATGAGCAATAGTGAGAGCTCTACTGACCAACCTCCTCGCACTGTTTCTTGGGAAGGCGATATTCGGAAATGACAAAAGTGGGTATGTTCGTGGTTTAGGACTTGGTCCAACTCCTTCTGTTCTATGGGATAGCAAGTCTTCCTTAGGAAATATTGTTGTAGATGATTCTTCTAATGAGGTTATACAAAGGTTAGAATAGGAGATAATCGAGTTAAAGGAGAAATAAAATGAAGAAATGAATATGATGAAACAAAATCAGGAGAAGATACAATCAGAATTACTCCAAATGAGACAACTAATGCGCAAATATGCTCCTAATGCATCTATGCCTCAAAGTAGCAATGGCACCTCAGGTGAACAGGTAACTCCATTTCATAAGCTTTAGACATTTTTAATGAAATTCTAATCATATAAAAGTATTGTTAACTAACATGTTAATATTTATTAGATCCCTGACGCCAACAGTGGATGGACCTGAACGAGTACCACAAACAACAAGGATACGTAGTGTTGCTGTAAATGATCAACCTTCTCACGATACTACTCATCTTTAAGTTTTTCTCCTTCGATTTTTATTAATAATTTGTTGTTGTATTTTGACTTACTTGGATGCTTCTTGCTTTTATATATTTCCTTTACACACTGTTGGTTTCCTTCTCAACAATATATATCTTTTACAAGTAGAAATAGTTTTTTGTGTCTTCTTTAGCAATTGTGTTCCTTGCATTACGGATTTATGATCTTTAGCAAAATATAATTGTGCAGCATAGATTAATCTTTGAATTTATTGCAATAGTCGACCATCCTTTTTGCCAGCATTTAACTGAATGTATCTCAATGTCAGCTACTGCTGCAAATTACTTGTAGTCGCAGTAGTAATTTCTTGTCATATGTTTGTCTCCATCTTTTGGCATATATTTATTGGCCATGATTTTCCAGTTATTTGCCTCCCATAAAACATCAAAATTATATCTGCTTCTAAGGCTAGGGAAATTATTAAATGGAGAATCAATGAATAATAAGATATCAAAACTTAATCTTTTTAAAAAAAAACTAAACTGGACCATTTTATTGATTGTAGAAAGAATAACATATGCTGAGGAAGAAAGCTCCCTCCTACTAGTTGAGAGGTTTACATGCCAACCTTTGTTCCTTTGTGTACTCAATATAAAAAATGAACTTATTTTTATTTGCATCATGGTGGATCAAATTGTATGTCTGCTGGCTTTAGTTGTCTGACTCTGAATGCTGCCATTTTCTATCTGTCTAGTTGGACCAAACCTCTAACCTAGCGAGGGAGTCTATCAAACCGTGTGAAGACAAGTTTATTTCGATGACTTAGGCTAAGTGAGGCTAGCTTATCAACTACTTTATTAGCTTCGCGATAACAATGTTGTATTGTCAATCTCTTCTCCTCCACTATCTCACTGATACTTTCCACTGCTTCCAGCATTCTCCACGGTGTGTTCGCTTCCCTATTAACACAGGTAGTGAGCAGTCTTGAATATGCCTCCACAATGATGTTGAGGCCATTTGTCTCGCAAACTGCAGTCCAAAAAGCATTGCCTGGCTTTCCTCCCAATTACTAGTGCCAGGTCCCAAATATATAGAGAATGCCGTGATGAGCTTTCCCTTACTGTCTCTTATTATCCCTCCGTCTCCAAAGTTCCCCTTTTGGCAACTCCCATCTGTGTTCAATTTATGCAACAGAGGCGGAGGCTTCAGCCATTTCACCAATTTGCAGGACTTATATATCATTTGAAGATCTTCTAGTAGTTGTAACTGTTCCCATGTTCTTTGAACCTGTAACTTGCCAAATTTCTGCCCCACTAGATCAAAAAATACTTGCGCGACGAGGTACTTTGACCTGTGAACTGATGGTATTTCGGAACCGTACCTTGCTTCATTTCTCGTCCTCCATAATTCCCATGTGATTAGAGCAGGTAGTATTTTAACCATGAAGGACGATACTATATCTAGCGTTTTGTGACCCCACCATTGTAGCAGGATGTGTTTGAATTGCAATCCTCTAGTAGAAACGCCACATATTCCTGCCAGCTTGTTCCATATAGCTGCTGCAAAATTGCTTGAGCTAAATAGGTGCTCTACTGATTCCAGCTCTGAGGAAGAAGATGAGAAGCAATGGCATGTTGTCACCAGGTTATACCCAAACCTTGCAACGCGGTCGTCTGTAGGTAGTTTTTTCTGCACCGCTCTCCATGTGAAGATCGCCATTGTAAAGGGTATATATTTATTCTAGATTGTGATGTATGTTGGTGATTGTTGTCTCCTTTGTTTTAGTAATTCCCATGCCGATGCCATTGTGAAGTTACCCCTGTTGCTTGGGAGTAATGTAGTCTCTTGTTCTGTTTTGTTGCTTTTTTAGGTTTGAATTCTAAGTAGAAGGTAGTTTAATTTGATAATGCTTTGCTGGAGAAAGAGGAAAAACTTTGCTCCGGTACTGTTGTGGACGAATTGAAAAATGAAAAGATAATTTTGAAAAATGTAATCTGCCAATGAGTTTGGAGACAGAGCTAGGTGTTTATTCATAGAGAAACAAAAAAGAAGCTTTTAGTTAGACTAACTTGCTTTTAGGCAGTTTTGCATTAGCTGTAGAGGAATAAAGTGTCTTCCATTAAAGCAAACCTAAGTAGTAGCTTGGGGGCCTTTTGAGAATGAAAAATACTCTATTATTAAGGGACCATAGTGAATGTTTAGTTGTATGATATATTTAGTTTTCTAGGTTATAAGGTTCTGCTAGTCCATTTTACCTTCTGAGTACTTGGAAGTGAATGGACCAAAAGTTTGACTTGTCTGAGACATTCTGTTTATGAATTGTGACAGTGATGGAATCTTCAAGATATTTTTTTCACATTATATTTTATCTTCTGATACAATTATTTGATAATTTCAGGTCATACACTTTAATGTTCGATAATTCAGTGGGTGGAAGATTTCAAAATGATGAAAAGTTGTGGAAATCATTTGAAGACCATCATTCGTTTGGATTAGTTATATAATGACATTAGCTATTTAGTTCAAACAATATAAGTTTAGTTATTGTGACATCAATATTTTTGATTAGTACTTCCTTTTGTTTGTTAAGATTTAATGAGATATATTATGTTTTTTTAATTAATATTAATATATTTTCTTATTTGGGTCATATTCTGGATAAATGTAGTAACTATTATTAATGGTGGCTACAATATTGCTATTACCGCTTGTGACTTTTAGCGTTAATTTAGTTGGATATACCAGCTATATAAATGGACGATAAAGGGGCAAATTAAGATATTTTTACAAGGGATATTACAGCTGTTATAATTGCTGTAAAACAATTGCCGTTAAAAATATTGATTTTTAACGGCAATTTAGTTAAACATATTAGCCACTAAAATGGACGCTAAAATGACAAACTAAGATATTTTCAGAAGGGATACTATGGCCATTTTAATTACCACAAAATAATTGATGTTAAAGAAGCGAACTTGTAGCAATTATTATGAATTTAGCGGCAATTATTTTGAATTTAGCGGCTATAAAGTAGATACTAAAGCAATATAATTAGCCATTATGGATTGGATTTAGTAGCCATTATAATTGCCACAAACAATTTCCGTTAAAGATAATAATCTTTAGCGGCAATAAGCCATACCTTTTACCGGCTTTTGTGACAATAGCCGCTAACGGCTTTGCCGACCCCAACTTCAATGGCCGCTAAAGCCGTTTTATATTGCCGCTAAAGCCCATTTTTGTTGTAGTGGGACTTCGAGGAAGTTTGATGCTATTTGGGTGATTGTGGATCGGCTGACCAAGTTTGCGCACTTCATTCCAGTTGGGGCTACTTATTCTTCGGAGCGGTTGGCTGAGATTTACATCCGCGAGATTGTTCACCTTCACGATGTGCCAGTATCCATCATTTCAGATCGAGGCACCTAATTTACATCACAGTTTTGGAGAGCCGTGCAGCGAGACTTGGGCACTTGGGTGGAGTTGAGTACATAATTTCACTCTCAGCGAGACGGACAATCCAAGCGCACTATTCAGATATTGGAGGACATGCTACGCGTTGTGTCATTGATTTTGGGGGTTCATGGGATTAGTTTCTGCCGCTCGCGGAGTTTGCCCACAACAACTACTAGTCGAGCATTCGGATGGCTCTGTATGAGGCTTTGTATGGGAGACAGTGTCGATATCCGGTTGGTTGGTTTGAGTAGGGCGAGGCTAGGCTATTGGGTACTGACTTGGTTCAGGATGCGTTGGACAAGGTTAAATTAATTCAGAATCGGCTTCGCACGACGCAGTCTAGGCAGAAGAGTAACGCCGACCGGAAGGTTCGTGATGTTGCCTACATGGTTGGGGAGAAGGTTCTGCTCAAGTTTTCACCCATGAAGGGTGTTATGAGGTTCGGGAAGAAGGGCAAGTTGAGCCCTTGGTATATTGGGCCTTTTCAGGTACTCTAGAGGATTGGAGAGGTGGCTTACAAGCTTTCCTTTCCACCTAGTTTGTCGAGTGTACATCAAGTGCTTCATGTTTCCATGGCCTGGAAGTACGTCGGCGATCCTTCTCATGTTTTGGATTTCAGCACGGTTCAATTGGATGGTGATTTGACTTATATTGTGGAGTCGGTGGCCATTTTGGATCGGCAGGTTCGGAAGTTGAGGTCAAAGGACAAATATTCAGTGAAGGTGCAGTAGAGAGGTCAGCCAGTCGAGGAGCCTACTTGGGAGACCGAGTGGGAGATGCGGAGCAGATATCCACACCTATTTGAGACTCCAGGTATGTTTCTAGACATGTTCGAGGATGAACGTTTGTTTAAGAGGGGGAGGATGTAACGATCCGGTTGGTCGTTTTAAGAGTTGTATCCCCGTTCCCCTATTTACTGCTCATTTTGTACTTTATAGCTATTATTTGACTTTCTAGGGTAGTCAGTTCGGGTCCGGAGGGATTTAGGAATGAATTGAGACACTTAGTCTCAAGGTTGAAAACTTAAGTTAAAATGGTTAACCGGATGTTTCCTTATGTGTAAACGACTCCGGAATGGAGTTTTGATGGTTCTGTTAGCCTAGTTGGGTGATTTTGGACTTAGGAGCGTGTCCAGATTGTGAATTGGAGGTTCGTAGTTGAATTAGGCTTGAAATGGCAAAAATTAAATTTTTGAAAAGTTGGACCGGGAGTGAACTTTTTGATATCGGGGTCGGATTCCAATTTCGGGAGTTGAAGTAGGTCGTGGTGTCATCTGTAACTTGTGTGCAAAATTTGGGGACAATCAGACGTGGTTTTATAGGTTTCGGCATCGTTTGTAGAAGTTGGAATTTCTTAGTTTCAATAGGCTTGAATTGCGGTGCGATTCGTGTTTTTGATGTTGCGTGATGTGATTTTCGGGCTCGACTAAGTTCGTATGATATTTTGGGACTTTTTGGTATGTTTGGTTGAGGTCCCGGGGGTCTCGGGTTGATTCTGGATGGTTAACAGATCAAAAGTTGAATTTGAGAGGTTGCTGAAGCAGGAGTCTGTTGGTGTAACTGCACCTGCGGAGCTTTGATCGCAGGTGTGAGCTCGCAGGTGCGGGTTGTGTTGTGGAGATGCGAGTTTAGAGGGGAGTGTGCAGGTGGTCACAGGTGCAATGGAATTTCCGCACCTGCGTGGCCGCAGATGCGGCGATGGGAGCATAGGAGGAGAAATGGTGCTAGGAGCTGGATCCGCAGAAACGGCTTGGTGGCTCGCAGAAGCGAGTCCCCAGGAGGGGATTCATGGGCCGCAGGAGTGGAGGAAACCACAAAAGTGGAAGTTTGGTCGCATCTGCGATGCCGCAGAAGCGATTAAGTGTCCGCAGAAGCGGAAAGGCTGGGCAGAATGTTTAAATTCATGGGTTCGCGATTTTTCTTCATTTTGAACATTTCAAGCTCAGGTTTGGGCCATTCTCGAGAGGATTTTCGAGGGGTTTCTTGAGGTAAGTCCCTTGTGCTCATTTTTTATCAATAATCTTGTTTCCCCATTGAATTTTCCACCTAGTTTGTGTGTATTTAAGGTGGAATTTGGGAGTTTGAGGCTAGGGATTTTGAGAGTTTGATTTGGGGAATTGGGTGGCGATTTAGTGTCGGATTTTTGTAAATTTGGCATGGTTGGACTCGTGGTTGAATGAGCTTTTGAATTTTGTGACTTTAATCGAATTTCGAGACGGGGGCCGACTTTTGAGTCGTTTTGTGACTTTTGATTAATAACTTAGTATTTCATTTTGATTAATAACTTAGTATTTCATTATGGAATTGATTCCTTTAGCATGTGTTGATTATATCGCATTGTTTGTGGCTAGATTCGAGGCATTCTAAGGTCATTTCGCGAGGCAAATGTGTGTTGGAGTAGAGATTTGCCTGGATTGAGGTAAGTAACACTTCTAAACTTGGCCCTGAGGGTTCAAAACCCCGAGTTATGTGTTAAATGTTTGGTTATGAGGTGAAGCACATGCCAAGTGACGGGTGTGTGGGCGTGCACCGTACGAACTGTGACCTGGTCGATTCCATGAAACAGTATAGTGGATTTATCTTGTTGATATCCGTATTTGCATCATGTGATAAAGTAATTGAGTTATCAACCATGCTAGAAATCATGTTTAGGCTATTACTGGTATTGTTGGGACCTATAGTGGTCGTTTCTTTGCTGTTGACTTATTGATTACATTGAAATTTTGTACTCAGTCATATTTATTCATTGCATATCATATCTGAGTTTCCGTTGCTATTTATTGCTATATCATATCATCACTTTTGGGCTAGTTTCACGACATTGTGAGCCCGAGAGAGAGAGACTGGAGAGATTGATGACTGAGTGAGGCCGAGGGCCTGATTGAGAGTGACAATTATGGGATCGGGCTACACACCGCAACATGTTTGTCAATTTATGCATGTATTTGGCTTATTATAGTGCTTGGGTTGAAGGAGCCCCTCCGGAGTCTGTACACACCCCTAGTGAGCGCAGTTGATTATATTGAGGGATGGATCTTCCCTGGACATGGATGTTGTCCGAATCATTTATATTTGGGGATGGATCTTCCCCTGGGCTGGATTGGCCTTATACTGTATTGAGTGACTGACTGTCAGTTGATGTGTGTGTGTGTATATATATATATATATATATGGAATGGATCTTCCCTGGGCTGGATTGGCCATATATAGTACTGAGTGATTGAGTATTCTAAGAGTGAGTACACGAGACTTTCGACGTGGTGCATCACATACAGCATGCGCATTGGTAATGTAGATGTAGAGAGGCCATACTCCTCATATCATTCAGAATTGATCTATTTTTACTTGAATTGAATTTAAATGTTGAACTTGAAAGCATGCCTACATTTCTGCACCATTATTTCTATATTGAACTGTACCTGCTGAGTTCGTCACTACCTTTCAGTCCAAAGGTTAGATTTGTTACATATTGAGTTGGTTGTACTCACGCTACACTCTGCACCTCGTGTGCAGATCCGGGTGCTTTCGGTCACGATGGTTGCTGCGTTGTGGAGTCCGAATTTTTGGAGACTATTGAGGTAGCTGCTTGGCGTTCACGGACATTGACTCTCCCTCCTTGTCTTTCATTTTATGTTTCAGTTTTATTACCTAGACTGTGTATTAGACTATGTCTTTATGTAGATGCTCATGTACTCGGTGATGCCCCGGTTTTGGGAGAGATTTGGTATTGAATTATGATTTCCTACTCTGTTTTTGAAAGGTTTCCTTGATTTTAACTGCTTCCGTATCTTTCAAAGCTTTAGAGTATTGGAAATGTCTTCGTAGTCGGCTTGCTTATCATAATATGTTCCATTACGACAGGTTTGTTTTGGGTCGTGACACTACTATTTTTTAGCGATTACATCGATCAATCTCATGCATCATGAGTAAATGAATTGAATAAAGACGACATGGCATCTTTGACTTATATATATA